AAACCCTAAACCCCAAACCCTTCCCCCTTATAACACTTCGGCCCAGAAGTCCCCCGCAGCCTTGAATTCAAAGTCCGAGCGGCTTCCTTTAGGGTTTGGGGCGTAGGGCTTCTAGGGACCTAGTAGGGTCTAAAGACCAATGAATAGGGTTTGGGGCGGCTGGGGGATGTTCTAGGGTGTAAGGATTTGCAAACTGTAGCGGCTTAGTGACTCAGCGTTTAGGGCTCAGTGGAGGGACTTGATACCTTAAACCCCTTCTTAAGCCCAATCGAAGAACTCAACACTCACCATGTTGCATGGCCTAAGCATAGCGCAAGAACCGGAAACCCCAAACCCTGAAACTGTCACCTTAAACCAGAATCCCCCAAACCTGAAGCCCAAGCAGCATAAAACCCTGCCACGACTGTACCTACCTTAAATTGTTGTCTATAAACCCCCAAAGCCGCAAACCCTAGTACAGCCCTGAACCTTACTTTGAGCCCTAAGCCTTATACAGTCAGATGTAATAAGCCCCCTTAAAAAATGTGTAAGAAAAATATATATAGACATATTTTAAAATTCTTGAAGTCGTGCAATGACTGGGATGTAAGGTGCCGACTGGACCACACCAGGAACTCATGGCCCTCCACCACAACCTCACTGAGTGCTGTCTGCGGGTTGCTGTCTGCGGGTTGCTGTTGGGGTTGCTCTTAGGGCTTAGGGTTTAGGGTGGAGGGGTTTAGGGTTTAGGGTTTAGGGTTTAGGGCTTAGGGTTTAGGAAGGTGTCAGGGATCTACCGGGCTACGGCTACACGTATCGTGTTACGATGCGGGGTCATCATAGCGACTTAGGGTTTAGGAGCTAGGTAAAACTAAGGCTTAGGAGCTAGGGATCAGGGTCAGAGATTCAAGGCTTTGCTTCAGGGGAATTCGACATGATGTGAAAGCCACAGCTGCTCTTCTACTTCTGAACACGCCTTTCATCACGTTGTCGTCATGGTCGTGGGCGTCGTCACACTTCCCACAGCAGGCGCAGCAGTAGCAGCAGCCAGGTTTGGTGCATGTTCATTTCTGACGATGTTGTGGGTGGCGGTTCCTGTTGCCTCATGGCCAGGCTACTGATGACGTGTATGGCAGTGGCAACTGCTTCTACCAAACTTAACTCTATCTGATGTCTTCTTCAAGTGTCCAAGAAGGGTACTTCGATGATTGGACGATGTGTTGTAAGAGCTCGGCTTAAGATAATCTTCATCAGTGGCCTGTAACAACAAACCAGGAAACAACACTACCTAAGTGTAACACCTAGGCTCCCCTAAACCGTCCTCGCACAGCCAAGACGCGCTCCAGTCCCCCGAAAGTCCTGCTTCAGGAGGAGAGCTTTGACATGCAAAGTGGACGTAACATACAGTCTTTAAATTTCCTCAAGAGCCCTGCTGTCACCCGCCACGATCTCCATGATATAGGCGCCTCAATAAGTATAATTCGCTGGTCTAAGCATGCAAAAGTCGTCAGTTCCTCCGGCGACACTGCTGCCGCGAGTCACAGATCAACAAAGCAAAGACGTCCTCCTACAGACACCACGACGCTTGGGCAAGTAGAAGCAACAACCAGCTGTGCGCTATGCTTCCTAGCAGACGCAGTAGCATGCCGCGGGCAGATAATGTACTTGGAGGATGGGGGGGACAGTCATAGCTAGTAGATATGGTGACAAACACCTTAACTAACTAACTAACTAACTCACTAACTCACTAACTAACTAACTAGCTAACTAACTAACTAACTAACTAGCTAACTAACTAACTAACTAACTAACTAACTAACTAACTAAGTAGTCAAGCAAGAAGTTGTAATGATAACAGCTTCCGCATTGTTGAGTCTGCTGCACGTGGCATCTAAGACAGAAGGAAGAGGTATGAACCACAAAGGAACATCCCCTGATGGTGCCGGGTAACAACGATTCTGAGATTCTGATCATTACACCCCCGATATGATACTAACAGAGCCGCAACCTCATTGAACTTAAGGCTGCGGTTTAGGGCCTCGGGGTGAGGTTTCGGGTTTTGAGGTCCAACTACCTGAGGCAAGAGCCGGCCTGCCGGCTCCCAAAGACCGCAGAAGTATCTCTCGGATTCAGAAAGTACAGATAGCGCTGTGCATGACGCCTTGGGCCGAGAACCTAGGGTTCTTAAGAGTTATGTTGGGGTGTTGGGGCATATTACACTCTGACGAATACATGTTGTTATCATTAAGGATCATTCCTACAGGCCTCAAAACAGAGCTCTCTGAATGGATCAGGGTTTGGGGTGTGGAGCGTTAATAGGGTTTAGGCGCTTTTGGGTTGTGTGGAAAGACGTCGTCTCTGTTTCTGGCTTGGCTGGCTTCTTCCCTAAAAACCCTAAACCCTACACCCTAAGCCCTAAACCCCTACACCCCTAAACCCTACACCCTAAACCCCTAAACCACCCCTAAACCGTGAACCCTAAACCCCTAAACCCTAAGCCCCTAAACCCTAAACCCTTATAAGCCCTCCTAAAGAGGCTCCTCGGGACTTCGCCAAAGCGTCGGAAGCAGCACGATGGTTGCTCAGCAAGACCATGGTGCAGGGTTCGAAGGATTTTGGGGTGTTTAGGGTTTTTTGGGGGGGTTAGGGTTTAGGGTTTAGGGTTTAGGGCTTAGGGTTTTAGGGTGTAGGGTTTAGGGTTTGGGGGTTTAGGGTTTAGGGTTTTGGCTTTAGGGTTTAAGGCACTAGGGGCTGAGGCTTTAGGCTTTCAGAATCTCTGGTGAGGTTTTAGGGTCAAGGGCTCAAGGATTGGGGGCTCTAGGGGTTTAGAGATTCGGGTTTCAGAATCTATGGCAGCGTTTAGCATGCATCTGGGGGTTGGAGATGTTGAGGGTTTCTAGCGGCGTCGCGCGGGTTTCGAGGGTTTCTGGGCTTGGTAGGCTTCCTGGCGTTCTCCTACTGCCGCCGCTTTAAGCGAGCGGAGCGCATCTCCTGATGGCCGCTTTGGGCCAATGGCTGCCAGTCCGCACGAGCGAACCCAAATCTCAAAATTGCAAGGACCCTTAGGGTTCAGGGTTTAGGGCTATTGTAAGTTAAGGCTTGGCGCTTACTGCACACGATCCTCCCACGGAAACATGGAAGGTTTTATACCTAATTTAAATTCTAAACCTTAAAACCTAAACCCTAAACCCTAAACCTTAAACCCTAACCCCTAAACCCTAAACCCTAACCCTTAAACCCTAAACCTTAAACCCTAAACCCTAAAGCCCCGAAGTATAAACGTCACTTGCAGGGTCTAAGGGCTCCTGGAGTAAATCTCAGGCTTCGAGCTTCTCTAGGGCTTTTGGATTCCTGAGCTCTTGGGATTTCTGTTTACGGGTTTAGGGTTTAGGGTTTAAAAATTTAGGGTTTAAAGGGCCCCCTACATTCAGCAAGCAGCTACACCGAAGACATGCACCTTGCAAGACGTGTGCCTTGCGTGTCATGTACATGAATCCCCAACTCCTCCAGCTTGTCTCCGGGGCAAGCATTCTCAGCTGTTGGAGGAACCCTAAACCCTAAACCTTAAACCCTGAACCCTAAACCCTGAACCTTAAACCCTAAACCCTGAACCCTAAACCCTAAACCCTAAATCCTAAACCATGAACCCTGGCATCTCGAGTCTACTGAGGGGACTTTGCTTTTTTCCTCACTGCTTCTTCTACAGGTCCGCACCCTGCCTTTGATACGATGCGACTATGCTGCCTGATCCCAGTGGGCATGGTGCGCACGAGTGTCTGATGGCTTCAGTCCTGCTATCGTTTGGACTCTGCGCCTTTGCTCTTAGATGTCTTTGCCGCCTTCGGGGTCTCTTTGCCCGCTCGCTTCTGGCGCAGCAACTCCTCCTTGGCCTTGTTCTTTGCTTCCTTGACGTGCTTGGC